GAAGGTGGCTAGTGGCTAGCAATGGAATCCGGGATGCGCGTTTCGTTCTGTTTTGGACTCTTCAGATGGATGCGCCTGGATCTGAGAGTTGACCCTCACTGTGGGACTCGAACCCAGTACCGTTTGCTTCGAACGCCATCGTGTTATCCGCTTACTTACTGAGTCCTGATAGCCATCTGCTTGTGTAGTAAAGCTTAAAATTCACTTGGTGTTATTTTACTTGTAACTTCCTATTGTTATTTAGGGCTGCAATTGATCAGTCTCTTGTTGGTATATGTGAATCCTGTGCGGACTGCCTCGACATAGCCCTAAGTCATAAGCTTTATAGGCAAAGATGAATAATGACTAGCATTGGAATCCAGGGCGCGATTCTAAACAGCAATCGAAAGATACCAGAAAATAACATCATGTAAATTTAAACTTTATCCCATTGCACAAACATTTGGCTTTCTAGACTGAGTAGCTAAATGGATAACGCGATGGCATTTGAAGTAAACGGTACTGGGTTCGAGTCCCACAGTGAGCATCAACACTGAGATTCAGGTAAATCTAGCTGACAAGTCCTACATAGGACGAAATACGCGTTCTGGATTCCACTGCTAGCCGCTATCCATCTTTGAATTGAATTTTGCTTTAAAAAAAATCAAGAATTATTTACCTAATCATGATTTATTGTAAATCTTTCTGTCTTGTGTAATAAATTTAGTAAACATTCAGTTGTTGTTTCCTTTTTTTGTATTTTCTTACTCTTTTACTAGGTCATAAGTTCACATGTGATTAGGAATTCTTTTAAAATAAAGAGAAATGGTAAAGAATAACATTTGTTTAAAGTTGACAGAATATACAAATAATTATTCTTATGGGATAAATTGTCATGTAACACGTGTCTATGACATTTTCAATTATCATTTCTACTTTGTATATACATAACATAAATTAGATTACAATGATGGTAGTTATTAACTAATTACAGATTGCCAGTTTTATAAAGGACCCCTCAAGATAATAAGTAAAGAATATCTTATATTTCAAAGAAAATTACTTGTGTAATAATGTTAATTTCATAGTGTTCTGTTTATATAATTAACTAGATTACAACTATTAAATCGTTTCGTAGTAACTATCATAGAAGGTTTCGAACTATACAAGTATTGAGATAATCATAGTGTAAGAAATCGAATGGTAGTTTTAAAAAAATATTGTGAATTGATTGAAGCCAGATATGTGTACCATCGGAATCTAGCTAAGTTGTCTTATAGGTAAGAGACTTGGTGTAAAGTATAAACTATCGAGTAGTTTCCTACGAAGATAAATTATTTAGGGCTCCTTGGTTAACATAGGTTAACCAGGTCAAAATAATTCATGACAAATTTGATGTCATGCCTTAACACAGAACAGCAACAGTTTAATCACTATAATTAGTATCGAATCATGATATAATAATGTGTGCAGCTCATTTCCTGTCTAATTATCATACGGTTTGTAACTATTTGAACTATCAATGAGTAGATACTGTTTACAAGTTAAATTTGGGCAGAACGATTATTAAGTGTTATAGTAATAAGAAAGAATGTTTCGTATAACAGTATATTTACTCAGGGCTCACTTCACAGGAAAATAGTTCATCAAGGTGGTTAAAGGTTTTTCAAGTTTATGAATGAATTTTATTTTGAATAAATTACCTTATCTGAAATAAATTACACAATAAAAGTTGATTTGCTTATTTCAGTAGTCAGGTGACTACTTTCCATTTTTTGTCATTTTTATTTTGTATACTTGTTAAGATAAAATGGTTGTGGTTTAAAGTTACCAAAAAACTTTGAATTTACATTAGTAGTCGATAATAACTGTTATCTAATTAAAACAAAATCATAGTTTATTAAAAGAAGCTTGATTATACGGAATGCCATAGATATTAGATCGTCCTCATTACATGAAAGTTAACATACCGTATTATCACTGTAATCAAAGTGTCTCCCAACATAAAAGAATGTTCAACTTTCAATCTCATATGGATTTAAACCATCAAATAATAAAACAAAAATTGAAAAGTGTATTTCACTGTCTAATCACTTTGTCACAATGTATAATTACTAAGAGAATGACATTCATTTCTAATATATATGCTACTTTTAACAAGTTGTATCACAGTATCAGTTGGTTTCTCTGTTAGGTATTTAAAGATTTCCATCAATTGATACGGAATTCACAATACACTATAAAATGATTCTTCTATGTTTAACACTTTCTATCAATATAAAATTGGAATTATAATATACATAAGATTAAACACCGTAAATAGTATTTTATGATAATAATAATAATACTAATAATAATAGATTCGATTGAACGGACGTTTAATCTTTTCCTAAACACCTAAGTAAAACACAAATAATCAGATTTATTAGGTTGTCTTGTTTTCGAATGGCATTTTTTCTTCTTTTTTTTCGTTTTGGTGGGTGAACAGTTTAGTTTGTGTATAGTAGACTTTGTTTCAGTTTGTTTCTGATTCATGACTACACACATATATATGTGTATGCCAATACATACATTGTATTTATCAATATACTAACCAAGAAATCTGAATTCACATGATCTTTATTAAAGTCAATATACAATTTGTGATTTTTATAACCCAGATTGTGGCATAAATTTAAAAGGTTCCATTATTTCTATTTTTCTATTAAAAAGAATGGATAGTTAAAATGATATGATAATGGATTATTACATGGAATTATTGTTTAAAATTTATTTGGTTAATATTCTTATTATCATTAATCAATTAGGCTTAATGCATAGATATATCTATATATATATATACATTAAAATATATTATCTAAATGATTTAATGTAATTAGACGTGTTTACATTCTGTCAATGCTTATTAGAATAATTTGCTTCCATGGTATATGAGATTGAAAATTTAAATCAGTTACAAAACTACTAGAAATTAATGAATTACTAAACACTTATTTCATTTTGATGTATAACTCATTAGGTTCAACCCAGAACCTTCAGGTTTAAAAATATCAGAAATTATGACCCTGTATGATTGCCGGGTATGTAATTAATTCTTCACTTGGTAGACTGTATGATTTGAAAATATTGATCACTAAACGTTGACTCAATAATCTAAAAAAAATTCATGTTCATGGGTGCAATATTCTTTCCCATATTATCATAAGTGTAATTAAACAAATAAACTAAAATTCAGTATAGGGGCTGTGGAGATTACTAAGTTTTTGATTGGGATTATGAACCGATTGATGTTTGACCACCATCGAAAACCTGAAAGCACTGGACGGCTGTTTCATCCTATTGTGGAAATCCTCAGCAGTGCTTATCCACGATCCCGCTCACGGGGTTCGAACCCAGGGCCTTCAGTCTCGCGCGCGAACGCTTTCCCTTTAGACCACTGAGTTGGAATTAAAAGTTGGTAATGTCTAACCTCAATCAATCCACGAAATTGCACGGCCATCTTCCATTGTACTTAGGTAGATACCTGTCTCTACCCGACATGGATTAGCTCCACTGGTCACGGCTCATGAAGCTAGTCACTAGTGAATACATGTTCATTATCAGTATAGGAGTTGTGGAGATTATTAAGTTTTTGATTGAGATCATGAAATATCAAGTTGAAATCTAATTAAACCTTAACAAAACTGACTAGAAACGAAATTTTACTGGTTTTAACTGGAATATTTAATTGAATTCATGTCAGTATCGACATCACGTTCATTATAATAACAATTGTAATTAGCAATAATGCACCTAATAAATGTGAATTATGATTCATCTATAAGAGTTTCATTACTTATTTCAATTTTGGATTACCTAATTTTAAACCCTTTAGGTTTTACAAGAAATTTGCTTATTTTGCCTTTGTACAAACTTAGTAATCATATATATAAAGCATATATTGTACTTGTATGTTTTCTTGAAAAAACTTACAACCTATCATAATTTTAAATACTATTACATCATACTAGTTACAGCATTTTCATTGTTATATATATTTGTTTGAAGAGACAAGAACAGATTACATTGGCACTCATATATTAAAATTATTATGATAAACAAGAGTAATAAACACTTTTTATAGCAGAATAAATCTTCATATTTATTTTTAAAATTACAAATTAAAGGTAAAAATGGACATTGGCTAGCAGTGGAATCCGGGATCTTATTTTATACTCGTCGGCTGGATGTACTTGCATGTCAGAGTTGATGTTCACTGCAAGACTCTAACCCACTACCGTTTGCATTAGCTATCTATCTATCTGTACGTCTTTGCTTATAAGGCTTATGACCTAAAACAATGTCGAGGCAGTCCAAAAAGGATACACATATGTCAACAAAAGACTGATCAACCGCAGTCCTAAACATTAATGGGATGATTCAAGTAAACAATACTATATGAAGTTACAAATAAAGTCAAAGTAGTAGTATTATGTATTTTATGCTGGGAATAGTTTTTAATCTAACAATATCCGTAATATTAAATCATCATTACTAATTATAACTATTATTATTGCAACAAAATCAAGTTTATTTCTTAGTACTCTGTAAAATTCATAATAATCATCTGTATAAAAGTTCATTCAACGTTGTTCGATTGAAATTTAATATTACCTCAAAGAAATTACAAAGATTATTGATCATAAATAGACAACTACTGTAAACCAAGAATCATTGAACAGCTATTCCCTCAATTAGATTTAAAGATAACTGAGCAAAAATTGCGAGTTAATTGAAGCTCTATATATAAACTATTGGTTTAATTAAAAGATTAAATGATCTATGAGAAATATAACAAGCCTGGGTTTGACTCCCAACGAAGTCATAGTTTATTAATGCTTTTAAATTCCACGTTCATTTGAAATAACCATTCAATGCTTCCTGATTTTTTTTTCAGTGATAGGACCAATCTATGATGTAACTTTTTACACAAACTATAATGACTTATTCTATCAATATTCACTGTTTTTTCTTAAATATAGATGTGGAGCTTTATTTGAAGGTGATCGAGTTGAATCCATCGATGATATATGCGTAGAAAATATTAAACTTCAAGAAGCAATGTACAGATTAAAAAATAATGGTTTAAATGTAATACGTTTACAAATTGTACCAAATGCTATAATGAATTCAGATAAATCAATACAGAATAATTCAGGTAATGAATTGAATTTATTAATTTTTTAAAATTTTTTTCATTATATTATTAAATATATGTGTGGCTCAATTTCGTGGATTATTTGAAGTTAGACATTAACACCGTTGGATGCCGGTTCAATGGTCTAGTGGTTAAGTGCTCGCGCGCGAAACCAGTAGGTTCTGGGTTCGAATCTCGCAGGGGCGAGGCCGTGGATGCGCACTACTGAAGAGTCCCACAATAGGACGAAACGACCGACCAGTGCTTCCAGGTTTTCCATGGTGGTCTAGCTCAAACTGACTCATGATCTTAACCATTGAAATTACTACAATCTCCACAAAACCCATCTGATATTAATGTATATATTCACTATTTTATTTGTCTTTTTCTTTTTTCTTTTTTTCAATTAACAAATTGATTATGAATCGTAAACATAAAAATGTATTTACACAGTATTTGTTTTTTTTTTTGTTTTTGTTCATTTCAAACTATAAGTAGAATAACAATAATTGAAAAAAAGAGAACATTATTGAATGATTGTAGAAAATAAATGAAAAGCATATTATTTACTTAATTAATATATCCGAAGGGTTTTTGTTGATATTATAGTAATTTCAGTAGTTAAGATCATGAGTCAATTGAAGCTAGATCACCAGTAGAGGGTCGTTTTGTCCCGGGTTCGAACCTCACGAGGCGGGATCGTGGATGTAAACTGCCGAAGAGTCCCATAATAGGATGAAACGGCTATCCAGTGTTTCCAGGTTTTCCATGGTGATCTAGCTTGAATTAACTCATGATTTCAACTATTGACATTACTGCAATCTCCACAAAAACCTTTCTGATATGAATTAACATATGCTTATCAGTGACTGGCTTCAAGAATTATTTCCTGGAGTTCTAGTGAGAAGCAGTGGATTTCAACCAGGTCTGTTGTGAGTTAATAACTCACTGATGACAATAGTGGATGTGTCGCTGAGTTTCGTAGATTAGTTGAAGTTTGACATAATTAATTTATTTGATCATAAACTGAAAAAAATTTATTAAAATGAATATGAGAAGTGTTTATTATGGGAAATATTTAGAATATTTTGTTTAAATATTCATATAAATTTTATAAGTGATTACATCTATAGTAAAAGTATTAATGAAAACTATAAGTGGAGATATGAATGCATCATTAAAATGTTTGTATCATATGAAGTGTTCCTATTTTCTTTATATTGAAAGTAATTAGTAAGATAAAATAATTCACTCCAAACAAATGTATCCTAGTAATTAGTCCTTTTGATAAATATTTTTGTTGTTGTTGAGAAGACCCAGAAAACGCTTATAAGTTTCTCAGAAACATTTAGAAAGTGAAAAGTCACATGTCACATTTCTGATTGGATGATTGCTTTTCCTGTTACTATGTTTAGAATGGTTCTAGAACTATCCAGAAGTTCATGGTAATCTGAAGTGCTATAAATACTCTTGATTTTCTGCATATGAACTAACCTTGAAATAGTGTCCTTTCTCTGTTTCTCGCCTTTTCTCTCATGTTCAAGTTGACATGTAGATTAAGCCTGCAGTTTAGTAGAAGATGAAGTTAATGTATTTCATCATTTCATTTCCTTGAAATCTTCATCTTCATCAATCATCAACATCCCCCACAATTACTTTACTATTATTATTATTATTTTGTTGATAATTACAAATAATTTTATCAATAACACTTTGAACATGATTCTTGTATTCAACTAAGTCTCGGTCTCTTTCTCTTATTTAATCCATTCATTTATAAGCTGAACTTACATAAACGTTGAAAGTTATTATAATTCTTTTACACTAGTGAACATTTGTAGACCATTCTATTAATTTATAGAAATCAGTTCGTTTGTGGAATAAAATGAGAAAATACATAGTCTTCAACTAATAATATGTGACGAAGTTACTAAATGATAGTACTGTAGTGTAGCAAATATTCATCACTGGTTTAGAGTTACATTGTAAATGTTGATATTTAGTTATAGTTTGATCTATCTGACAAGTGATAAATAGACAGGGACAAAGCACTTGGATTTTATTATTAAAAGTTCTTTAAAATACAAATTTATTGATTCACTAGGAAATATTTATGTACCAAGAGATAACAGTATAATAAAAAATATTACAAAATGTTTTATTAAAATTAAAGTTGATAGTCATTCACTGATTAAAAGGAATAGACTAAACAACTATGAAGTACATAGTTTCAGTGAAAATTCACTTTTACTAACAACTGTAATTGTAACTTTTATGGTTTACATATGTTTTCACGTTCAAAAAGCAAGTAATTAGTTAAAAGAATTTAGGTATTTATAGATAATGTATATATATATATTAGATTATGATATCTAACAGTCGAATTCATCAGTCAATTAATGCTAGACCACCATGGAAAACCTGGAAGAACTGGAGGACCGTTTCGTTCTACTATCGGACTTCTCAGCAATCGGCACCGACGATCCCGCACGAGGGACTCGAACTTAATACTTTCGGTTTTGCGCGCGAGCGCTTAACTTCTAGACCACTGAGCCGGTATTCATCAGCGTTAATGTCTAACTTCAACCAATCCACGATGTTGAGCCACCATTATCTTCAGTGAGTAACTGCCTTCCATACTAAAACGTCAAATGCTTTTAGGTTTTGCATTGTGGTCTACCTTTAATTGACACATGAATTCACCTATTAAATTACTGCGATCTACACAAACCCATCATACTAATAATAATTATGTTTTTTGTTGTTAATTATATTCACACAAAGATCAGGATTCACAGCAGTATTTTTGATACGAACTAAAATCATTTTTCTTGAAACCTTCAAAATTATTGGATATAAACAAGCAACTGGATCATAATATTTTGTGGATAGTAACTAGTAATATCTTTAAGAAAATAGTTATACACTGAACAAAATTAACTTCGCCACGTGTAAAATAAACTGTACATTTATAAAGCTATAAGAGAAACTCGATTATAAACAGATCACTCCAGGAAATAGTATTCTATATATTTGAATAAGAAGAGTACTTGATAAAAAATGAAAAGAGTAAAACTACTCACATGATACTTTCCTGAAAACATTTTAATATTTGGATGATGATCGGTGTTAAACCGAAAAGATATTACTATTTGTTGTGTGAGTGTATGGACAGATAGTTCACTAAAAACATATACTTTGTTTTATTTTGATAGAATGTTTAAAATCCATGAGATCTCTAAGATCAGCAACTCCATTGAGTAGTACACCAACAGCGGCTTGTCGATGTGAAGAAGTTGAAGTGCTACTTGAGCCATATGAATATATAGGCTATGGATTTACATTGATTGCTCCAATATCAAATCAGTTCTCTTTAGAACTGACCAGTTTTCCCTTGATCGATCAAGTGGATCCACGTGGACCAGCATTTAAGTAAGTAGATGTTTAAATGATAACAAATAGCTAATGTTTTTTAATTTTTCACTTCAAATCGTTTAACAATAAATCGATAGATTAATTATTTTTTAGTCAAAATTTAATTTTCACAAATATATATAGCCCTTAAATGCCCTGGCACGGCCGAGAGTGGGGATAGTTATCTCTCCCTCTCAAATGCTCTTACATAGCCACGTGCATACAACCACTGACAGGGAAGTCCTACTCACTGCCTTCTCGTGACATTACTGCTGTTTACTGAATTGAGAGAACGAAAAGCGAATTTTCGGCGCTTCAACCGGGTTGGTGGATATAAAGGGTCCACCTAGGTGAGTTGGAAAACTCTTATTCCAAACCAATGGTGTACATGGGCCCCAGTATCTAGAAGGAACAAATGGCGTATGAACCAATCGTTGGTCACCAGTTACCATTGGACTGCATCTCCTTAGGTTGCTCACTGCCTTGTGGATCAGACATTTAGGTCAAAGGCTCCGGTTGTGACGCCCTAAGAAAACCAACTGCTTCGGTTTGGGCATACTGGAAGTATCTTGGTCGTCAGACAAATAGAATGATTTATGTGGCGCATATTTATTTGGTGCTTTCTTTGTACTAATGTTTATGTGTTTAAATGAATGATAAACAAGATGATATATAGTGTATTTTTGTAAAATAATCTACTTTGGTAGGCAGTTTATTATTAGTGAAAAAACTACACCTACGGAAAAGTCTTTAAATTTCAATCCATGTGTCACAGTAACGATATGGGTTTCAGTGGTCTTGGTGAATGACGACCGAGCAGCAGTACAAATTGTTCAAAGATGAAGATCGTGATATTTTAATTCTAGCTCAGTGAATTCTGTTGTCGATAAATCGTCTTTTTCAATAATGCCAAAGAATGTAGTGCACTCTATTGTGAAATGTATTTTTAACCTACGATTATCTCATAATGTTGAAGTAATTGTCTTGGGTTTTAGAATTCGAGTGTTTTAATTGTAACCACAGGCGATAATTTTGAATATAAACTAATGATTAACTTACGAAGACTTATTGTTATTGTAGAGTAAGTTATTTTATATTGTGGTGCATTTGTTTCACATCAATCAGTTAAAAACAATGAATAGAAGACCTTAAACTAAAACTTCATGCTAGTTGATACTTTTTAGCAAATTGCGTCTGGAATTAAAAGGAGCCTAAAGTTATCCTTCAAATCTGAGCTTGGAGGTATAATCAAATATGTTCTAGCTGAGCTGTTTCAACTACAAGCCACATTTATCTTATAATAAATGACTGATTAATATGAAAATCTCTCTCTACCATAGTAGCTTTGCAAGAACATCTCTAACTGTATGACTTATTTTGAATACTATGTGAAACGTTATCCAATTTAAAATTTCAGATTCCTTATGTTAATTTGTAACAATTCAAACTTTTAAGAAACTGATCTATAAATAATCAATCATATATTTATTAATATCAGATGGGTTTTGTGGAGATTGTAGTAATTTCAATGGTTAAGATCATGAGTCAGTTTGAGCTAGACCACCATGGAAAACCTGGAAGCACTGGACGGTTGTTTCGTCCTATTGTGGGACTCGTCGGCAGTGCGCATCCATGACCTCGCCTCCTGCGAGATTTATTACCCAACCATAATATTTCGCTCTTTCTAAGAGTTGTAATACAGATTGTTCATACTAATTGAATTCCATAACTATGTTGTTTCTACCATTACTTATTGATCATAACTTAGTTCATAATGTTTGTCAATGTTCAATTGTTTTTTTCTATTTATTCTACCTATTAAAATGTTTGTTAGAAACTAATTTTTCCGTTTACAAGTAGCTTTATAGAAGAAAAAGAGAAAAAAACACAACAATCATTCATAGTAACATTTACAAATTAATATTAATCATAATACAAATCAATGAAAATTATAAAATTGTATCTAAGTGTATACAATTTCGAAAAAAAAATAGATTTTGATCTCTTCTCCTCATATATCCGCTATAACGATCATAATTAACAAATTTTCAAATGATTTGCATTGGGTTTATTTGTTTTTTTTTTCCTTTTTTTGAAAACTAATCTTGATCTCTGAATTAATGACAATAACAGATTAAAGATAGTGAAAGAAACAATAAAATTGAATTATAAATACTGGTAATTATTCACTTCCGATGAATAAATAATAATTACTATTTGAATGAATGAATGAATAATACTGTTTTTTTCATTATTATTTTAATTATGGTGTCAATGTATTCCGAAAGTATTAAATGCAATTAGCATAACTTCAGTTTTGTACTAGTGAATCGTTGGAATATTTAAAATTACATAATAATTGTGAAGTATGTTTCTATGAATAAAGCTAAGATGATGGAGAAGATTTGTAGCTCAGGTGGATGATCTTGATAGAGTTTTGTTCTCTGAGCTGGACGATAGATGTTAGGTAGAAGTCCAGCTAAAGTTTATGTTGATGATGTCGTTCAGAAGAACGATGAAATCTCTATGACCAAACCGTCCAGCTCAGAGAACAAAATTCTATCAAAATAAATAAAGCTTCTAACTACTTGAGATATGTGAATATTTAAATATCACCTCAGTAATCTGTAGATTAGGCCCTCCACCACGAGGGCTCAATGTATTAAATTTAATATTTGGTGGAATCCTGTTTTCATACTTTTGAAGAGTTCTACACTAGAACATTTAATGCTTTCTCGTTATTTATAGTTACTTAACTAACGTCATTCTGTAATGTAAAACTACAATATTTCATCACCCTAGTTAGCTATTTCAAATTATTGTATGGTAATCAATCGTTTTGAATACTGTTGACTTTATACTGATAAATAGATCTATTTGAATATAAGATCGTTGTTTCGTAAAACCAAACTCTAAAGAGAATGCAATTCAAACTTTCATTTGTTTTCTCATTATTTTGTTTTAAATGACTACTTAATGATTCATCTTATATCTTGAGTAAAAAAAATAAAAAAAATTCTATCACGCATGAAAATGGGTTATTTTTATGTTATAGAATTCCTTTCGGATAATTCTATTTAGACTTTTCATTGTCTCAAATATTTCTGTAACTCATATCTATAAGTAGAAACAAGTAATATTAACATATTCCAAACGATTATATAAAAAAAGTAGGAAAAGAGATGTACACAATTACACGCATATATATATATATAGAAATTTGTGGATTGTTTGAAGTTAGACATTAACACCGTTGGATGACGGCCCAGTAGTTTGATGGTTAAGCGTTCGCTCACGAGACTGATAGATCCTGGGTTTAAATCTCGTGAGGCAGGATCATGGATGCGCAATGCTGAAGAGTCTCACAATAGGATGAAACGGCCTTCCAGTACTTCCAGGTTTTCCATAGTGGTCTAGCTTCAATTGACTCATGAATTCAACTATTAAAATGCATATTTATTCAATAAAAATGGCTAAAGCTTATATATATATATATTTATTAGACCAATTTAGATAATTACTAAATTTATTAAAGAGACATTATTTTATAAGGTTGATATTTATTAATTTAATTAAATATTTGGTAATTAAGAGTAATTAATTAATTAAAACAAAATAATTAAATTGATTTAATTATTTAAATAAATTTATTTTATAGTGAATATTATGTTTTCCTCTTGAATACTCTTTAATTGATGTTATTCTTATTATTGGCATTATCTTTTGAATATATTTCAATAATTATAATGAAGGTAAATAAGATGATAATCATTATTGAATCATAATAATTTATTAATTAGATTTTTCAAAAGTAATCGATAGAAAAAGAAAGAAAGAAAAAGATTGTTCTATTAATGCCTAGCAATTATCGGGTAAATATTTTGTGGATTAGTTGAAGTTAGACATTAATACTGTTAGATACCAGTTCAATGATTTAGAGGTTAAGTGTTCGCAAGCGAAACCGAAGGTCTTAGGTTTGAATCCCTCGGATGAGATTATGGATGTACACTGCTGAGTAGTCACATAGTAGTTCTTCCACACTTTCTATGGTGGTCAACTCATGAATTCAACTATTAAATATTAAAATGTTTAATGTATTTCTTTATCAATATTAAACTTGCTTTTTAAAATAAATACCTTTGTATTTGTAAACGATTATACAAACATCTATTTGATGGAATTCAATTATGGTTAACAAAATTATTTAACTTATCCGTAACCATCGATGATGTGTTTATACTTAATTTATTACATTTGTATATGGTATATTGCTTGAGCAAGGAATATTTTATTTGTTACTAATCAGTATTATGTAAAAATTAGTGATCTATTCAAAATATACCGTAGACAGTTATACAACAAGCTATTTGCTTGGTTTTATTCTCCGTGAAATTGAAACGATTAAGTGTATTTTTGTTAATCTTCCTTGACATTTAAAACAGAAAAACTTGAAGCTATTTATATATAACTTTATATCCATTTAATAGGCTGGTGACTGTACGGATTCAGTAGCTTCCTTGTATGATACATTGAAGTTTGAAATGAAAGGTACTGAGTTCAAGACTCAATGTGAACATTAGCACTGTTGGTCATACTTTAACAATATTAGTTAACCAGGTTATCGAGACATGAATTCATTATGCAATTTTTTATTTTAATTGCATTATTTTGTGGTCTTATAACTCTATAGACTTGAATGTATGTTAGTGATAATTCAATTTTAACATTCCATTCAACATTTCACCTCAGTGGTGAAACATAGATCAACGTGAATTTCTACACAGTTTCATATTCACATTAAGTTACCGTATTCGAGGGGATAAATATTAGACTGGTTTACAGATATATCTATGCTTGTCATTAAAGAGAATGTACAAATTCAGTTTTGCTGTTTTGTAGACAATGAACATTAGTCAGTATACTACTCAACAGTTCTCAATATTATATTTTATGGCCGTAATGTAGTCTCTGACGACCAGAAACGTGTATACATTTTTGTTATTTGATCACAAATGTCT